TTTCCCTTAAATGTTAAATCATCCGACGTAATTACTCGGCAATTCCAAATGATTGAATTCCGGCTCCGAATTGGGATGACATGAATAGATCCCAGCTGGGGCCTAGGTTGCATTGTGTGGCTAACGAAATCAAAGCTTTATCATATTCGGCTATGGTTTCTCCATCCTGTTGTATACGATGGCGAAGTTTATCAATTGCTACTCCTTGGTTACCATTATTGTTGCCTAGAATAACCTTGATATCTTGCATTGATAGCTCCGTCATGGATTTTGGTGCATAGGCCAATTTTATTTTTGTATACAAACAGTAACCAGAAACCAGTTTTCGAGATGAAATCAAAACAGGCTCGATAGGAGGCCACTAACCAATACCTTGAACGGTTTATGCTCATCAACCGTAACCAGACTGATGAAAATCTTTTAGCAGTATTCTTATCTTCTTATGGTCACTGTTTGTATACTAAAATAAAATTGGCCTATGCACCAAAATCTATGACGGAGCTATCAATGCAAGATATCAAGGTTATTCTAGGCAACAATAATGGTAACCAAAAACTAGCAATTGATAAATTTCGCCATCGTATAAAACAAGATGGGGAAACCATTACCGAATATGAAAATGCCTTGATTACGTTAGCCACACAATGCAACCTAGGCCCAGCTGGGATCTATTCATGTCATCCTAGTTCGGAGCCAGAATTCAATCATCTGGAATTGCCGAGTAATTACGTCGGATGATTTAACGTTTAAGGGAAAGTTAAAAATAGCCCAAACTTGGGAGATAGCGGAATCTCTGAGCCAAAACAATTCATGGAACCAAACTCACAATGGCCTTAACCATATAACCGAAAGGTATAACAATACGCAATACCTACAACACCGGAATATGCAACGTAATAATAATACCACTTGTTACAATTGTGGTAACCGTGGACATTACCAAATCGCTTGCCCACTTAGACAAACATATAACAGTTTCCCTGCAACATCCTACCAATCTACTCTCCTGATCCAAGGGCAAACCGTAGCGACTCCAAACGAGCATACTCAAAAATCTACGAGAGGGAACTCGCAAGACCATTGGAAACCTTCCCCTGGATAGCAGGATTTAAGCGGGGAGGAGAATAGAAGTCCAACAAAACACCGTTTTTTTATCCCATTATAACCCCCTTTTTCCCCCTTTGTTTTTTTATATACTTTACCTTTTTTTTATATACCTTCTTCCCCACCCTCCCCGAGTTTTTTATCTTAGTAGGATTAAAATCCGCCCTGACATTTGTTAGATGTTTTTATGTGTCTAAGTAAATGAACTTAGGATAAACACCGCTCTAATTCAGCTGTACGGCATATGCCGTTATTATTATTTTATTTTTTTGGTTATTGATTATGTGCTTAATTAAATTAACTTAGGATTAAAATTCGCCCTGACACCGTTTATTTTGTTAGATGTTTTTGTATGCCTAAGGTAGTGAACTTAGTACTGAACACCACACTAATTCAGCAGTACGGCGTATGCCGTTCTTTCTTTTTTGCGTTGTAAAATGAATTTTTATTTAGGCCTGCAATCTGCCCTGATCCGACGGTGCGGCGGTAGTAGAAGTTAAGCGGGGAGGAGTGTTGTGTTATAACTAGTATTATAATTATTATTATGTTTTGTTCTAGTGATATGTTTTTCTTATATTACCATTTATATTATTTTTTTCTTAGTTCATTTAGAAGTGATGTGTTTTTTTCATATTATCATTTATATTTTTCTTTGTTCATGTATGCCGAGCCTGTTTTGATTTCATATTAAATTAATATTCTATTTTATTATTGTTTGATTGAAAAACGGGTCTATATAAAGACCTCGAAAAATGAATTGTGATGATTAAATATTTGATTTTTTTCTTTTGCTGTTTATAATATTATACTGTTTAATTACCAATTAAAATAAATACCTGTATTTCTCGACTTACCTGTGAATGACAAAAATGATGTCCAAATCCTGTCCCCAACATCGACCATCTCGGACCCCCGAACACGGACAGTATCTATCCCTGCCCGACGGTGGAACCCGTCTGTCCAACACTGTCGATGTTGGGGACCGGATTTGGACATCATTTTTGTCATTCAAGTCGAGAAATTAATGAAACACGTATTTATTTTAATTGGTAACACTGTGTGACAAATTTCGACTTGATTTTTTGGGAGAAAATAAAATAAACATGTTTTAAGACAGTTTTTTATGCATATTCTAAATCCCGCTGTCAGTTTTTTTCTAGCACGTCAGGTTTTTTATTTATTTTTGGTTAAAGTGGCCAAAAAGGTCATTTTTAATACTTTTTGAAGGTTTATAACTTCGGTTCTAATTATCCCTACAACTAAAAAAATATCTTAATTTTTGCAGCAAACCTTCCTTATTATTATTATACATTTTTTTTTATAAAATCCTTACTCAATTTTTAAACAACCTAAATTTTTTAAATTTACCTTTATTTATAAAATCTTTTTTAATATAGCTTACATTTAATATATTTATTTATTATATTTTACCGGATAAACAACCAACGAAATTTCAGGATAACAAATTTTCTTCTTATTATTTTTGTTAAACCCAAATGTACTAATCGAGCAAAAATAACAATCCCACAAATGATTTCTTGCTACGTGCCATATGCAGGTTTTGAATAAGGCAAATATGACCGTTTTCCATTTACCCATGAATTAAAAGAATTATAACATGTTTTACATATGTAATTAGGGGCAAATGGTTTATCCAAATCGCAGAGTGGAATATTGTAATAAATTTCATAAATCCTTTGATTGATTGGAGAAATTGGACATTTTTGTGCGGGCAATATATAGCCCGCACAGATGTAACAAAATTTAGAGACACACTTTAAACAAGGGGACCTCGGCATTAATTTTTTGTAGAATATTATATAAGGAGGGAATTTGAATAATATTTAAAATCCAATTTTAAAAAAAAATTAATGAAAGAAATTAAATGTTTATGAAAAATTAAGCGCGAAAAAAAATAATTCTTCTCCTTTCTTCCTACTCGTTATTTGGCATTATTATTTATTGCCCATACTACGGGTTCAAGGTACTCCATTGGAAAATCATATATTTTGATATAAATTGATTAAAAAAACAAATATTCTTAAATACATCTAAAAAAGATAAATATTAATAAAAAATATGAAAAAATTACCAATTATTGCATTTTAAATGAATTTTGCTTCAAAAATGCTCAATTCAAAAAGAGTACAAACTAAAAAAGTGGGTACAGATATCTGATTTTGGTATAAATTGATCATAAATGCATAAAATATTACTAAATACAACTAAAAAAGATAAATATTACCTTAATTTTGCTTTAAAAATGATTTATGCAGTGAAAATTCAATAAAAGTGTACAAATTAAAAAGTTCCAAAATATTTGTACCGACTTTTTTAATTTATAGATTCTGGTTGAATTTTCATGGCATAGAGTACTTTTGAAACATAATTTGAATTAATATATAATTTTGAGCATATTTGAAGCAAAATTATATAAAATTTATCTTCTAAAGTTAAGAATTTTGATAGTAATTTAAATTGAAAACTTAAGACCCCCAAAACGAAATTCTTTACCATTTTTCCCAAAAACCAATCGATAAAAAATTATAGAAATTAGTAAATTTATAAAGAAATATAAGTTTAACATTATCACCAATTTTCAGGGATTTTTATTCGATACTTTTTAAAATATATCCGTATAAAGACCTAAAATTTACCATTTTTGAGATTTCGAAAAGTTGTCTTTATAATAATATTTTTAAAATTTGACGTATAGGGAAAATTTATAAAACGGATTCGAACTCAGCGTCAAATTCTGCACCAAAACTTATTTTTATTTTCTTCTCCCATTTTTCTTGTCACACAGTAACAGCAAAAGAAAAAAAATCAAATATTTAATCATCACAATTCATTTTTCGTGGTCCTTATATAAACCCCTTTTTCAATCAAACAATAATAAAAAAAGAATATTAATTTAATGTCCTGGTCCATCTCGAAAACCGGCTAGAACCAGTTTTGAAGATGAAATCAAAAAAGGCTCGGTATATATGAACAAAGAAAAATATAAATGATAATATGAGAAAAACACATCACTTCTAAATGAACAAAGAAAACAAAAATATAAATGATAATATGAGAAAAACACATCACTTCTAAATGAACAAAGAAAACAAAAATATAAATGGTAATATAAGAAAATCATATCACTAGAACAAAACATAATAATTATAAACTAGTTAAAACACAAACAATTTGGATCAAATTTAGTAAATATAATATTTTAAAAATATTGATTTTTATTTGCCAACCCTACATAGGGATTAGTAATTGGTTTTCTAAGGGCTTGCAGGCTTACTTTGGCGCTAATTTCGTAGTATTGCCTCTTAAACCAATTCAAGGAGTTTTTCCATGTGCAATTTTGAGAAATGGCATTCAGCCTTGATTCCAAAATTATTTTCATGGATGTAGAGGTAATAAATTTTTTTTAGTTTTTATACTGATCCACAGCTTCATCGGAATAAATAACAAAAATTTGAAATTAAGCACATCTTTCTTTCAAAAATAGAATAAATTTTGAAATAGATAAAATGCACAAATGTTGTGTTTTATATTTGAAATGATTACACATGTTTGATGATCTCGCTTTCACGGCAAGAAATTATAATATATTAAGTGTCGAAACCCATAGCTTGATCACTACAAGCGCCTAGTTCTCTCTAAAGTTCAATATTATTAGATAAGTCCCAATCATTTAAATTAGATTAAGCTTGTTGCGAAGAAATATGAGTGAGGAATTTTTTAAATGAATATTCTACAGAATCGCTGGCAACTATACTAAAAATGAGTGTTCGAAATATCTCCAAATGAGTTACTCCCTAACAGTCATTTATTATTATTTACGCCTATATTTTATATAAATGAACATATTTTTTTAATTACTCATTTATATATTTAAGGCATAGCCCCAACTCCATTGTTGGCCAAAATTTGCACCGATATCAATAAACCTTGTGGACAGTTCATCCTCGAGAGCGATAGAAATCAAATCGAAACATTCATAAAAAATACTCCGATAAATAAGGTAAGCATTCGGGTAAAAGTGATTCTAATGCAGGATACCCTTTTTCTTCATATATTTATTCATTTGGTTGTTATAAATCACAATCTGATTTTCATCAGTTAAACCAGTTTAGAAATTTACCATCACTTATTAGAAATTGACGGAGAACTCGATGTTCAAGTTTTTAAAATTTTTGAAATATATTACACGAGCGGCAAAAATGCAATCTAATAAAATAAATTTGTCGACCTTCCTTTCCCATCTACTATTTTAGATAAACGGCATAGGTAAGGTAACATCGGCACTTTTGAAATCCATAAACGTAAACACCTGCGGTGATATTTGGACTCTGAGAGACAAAATAGGACTCCTCTATTCTGATATTTTTTGCCGCTTCATTCTTTCCGTTTTTATCGGCGGACACAGCGAGGCAGGTAGCGATGACGATTCCGATGATGACTCAGGTAAATTAAATTATAATAATTAATTATATTATATTATTTGGACAAAAAACATAAGATATTAATTTTTTGTTTTTTAAAAAGTAATCAATGCGCCATTTTGATTTTTTTTAAAGCTAAATTTATTGTTCAGAATATTTATTATTCCTCTTTCAAAAATTTAGGGTGATCGAAAAAGATATAATGTCTTTTTAGTGTTATATATTATTACCGGAATTTTTGGCTAGATAAGATGAAGTTTCGATTAAATATTATTTATATAGATGAGCATATTTTTTACAATTGGATCAATTTTAATTATAGTAATAAAAGTAAAATACTTATAGAAATAGCGAAGATATATCTAAGGGCTGGGGATTGCAAATTTATTTTTGGGATTTCCCCCCAAACCATCATTTTCTCGGCCTTCGGCCGGGTCCTGCTTATGTAAAATTAATCTGATAGATATTTTTGAATTTTCCGTGGTTATTCTTTATAACCTTTTTAAAAAGTTAGCTGAACTTGTAAGCGCTAATTCTAGAATCTATGCCAATGTTTTCCTTGTTTTATTAGTGCCCATGATTGCTTTAACTATTATAGTAATAAGTAGTGAAGAGATTATTGAGGGTTGACTTACTTTTAATTATCTTAGTTGTTACTTTATTAACTCTTTACAAAAGGGTCATTCCACATCAAGTGAGCAAAAAAATGAGATTTTCGGCCGACCCCTTTCGATTTTTTTAAAATTAGGTAAGCAAAGAAAGGTCAATGTAACTAAGAAATAGCCAAAATTTTAGCCTCCTAACATTTATATTTTTAAAGATATTAGGGTTCAAAGTGGCAAAAATGACGTATTTTTACCATTATCTGCCTTCATTCAATTAAGCATATGGTGAATTCCATATCAAATCAACCAAGGTTTCAACCCGACCCCTTTCAATTTTTTTTAAATTTTGCATACTGGTAGTATATACTATAACTAAGAAAAAAATGAAATTTTACCTCCCAAAAAGGCTTACCCGCTAAGATATGGGCGTTTAAAGCGCGGAAAAATGGTACATTTTTGACAAAAAGTGCCTCATTTATTTTCAAATATCTCGAGAAATAATTAAGTTAGAAAAATAATTTAAATTTTATTATGTAGCTTAATAATAGTTCTTTAATATGACATAAAAATAAATATGATATAATATGATGAATGTCCAAAACCGGAAATGGCCATAGAAAAAAAGGTATTTTTTTTTTCAAAATTTTTTTTCTGTAGATAGATATAACACTGCTTTATATTTGTGCCAAATCCTAGCCTGGGATGAAAAAGGGTCTAGGAATTATGACTCTTTATATGGCTTAAATTGATCAAAAATATCTTCATTTAATGAATACTTATGAAATAAAGTTTATTTAAAAATTATGTCTAAATGATATGCCCTTACTTTTTTTTATTTATTACCATAAAACAATCTATCATAATTAAAATTCAACAAATATCATCATATTTAATTGATAAATTCACATTCATATTGTAGTTTTCGTAACCCCTAATGTGTAAGCTCTATAACTTTTACTTCATCTTTAAATCATAATCAATTTTCATTTATATTAAAGAAAAATGAATTCTCCGAATCGAAAATAGTATTCTTAAACGGAAAAAATAATAAAATTATTATATTATTGGGAAAAAGAAACTAAAAAAATAATAAAATCATAATATATTATTGGGAAAAAGTGCAAGACCATGCACAGGGATTTCATTGGACAAATAATCAGTCCACTATTCACTCTTTTATCTTTTATTATAGTCAGGACAACACTATAAAACATATAAGTTTAGTGGTGATATCAGATTGCTTAAAGCACAATGCCTGTGCCTTTTATTTATTTTAAACTAAAATGATCTTATTTTTAAAAGAAAGATTTGATACATTGACCAAAATTTATTATCTTTCTGATGGGGCCGTAACCCAATATAAAAATAAAAAAAATTTCATAAATCTCTAAAATCATGAATGTGATTTTGGTATAAAGGCCGAGTGGCATTTTTTTGCTACAGCTCATGGAAAAAGTCCGTGCGACAGTTTAGGAAGTATTAAAAAACGGCTAGCAGGTCGAGCTAGTTTGCAACGGCCATATCAAAACCATATTTTGACACCTATGGATTTATTCGACTTTGCAACAAATAATATACATGGAGTAAATTACATTTTTGTAAGCAATAATGAATACAATAATATGGAAAATCATCTAGAAAGCAGATTTTTGAGAACAAAAAGAATTCCGGGAACACAAAAATACCATGCTTATATTCCCCTTGACGAAAATAAAATTAAAGTCAAAATTTATTCCAATTCTTTAGATAATTTAATATATGATATATTGTAAACATAATTATGAATTATTATATTGTATGTAATTATGCAATTCTTTAGATAATTTAATATATGATATATTGTAAACATAATTATGAATTATTATATTATATGTAATTATGCATTTCAGAAAAATAAAGTTATAAATTGGTTTAGAATTATTTTGTTAAGTAATTTTTCAGTCACAATATGTTAACAATTAAAAATAAAAAAAAGTTAGGGCCTATCATTTAGACATAATTTTTAAAAAAACATTATTTCATAAGTATTCATTAAATGAAGATATTTTTGATCAATTTAAGCATAAAGAGTCATAACTTTTAGACCCTTTTTCATCCCAGGCTAGGATTTGGTACAAATATAAAGAAGTGTTATATCTATCTACAGAAAAAAAAATTTGAAAAAAAAATACCTTTTTTTTCTATGGCCATTTCCGGTATTATACATCCGGTTTTGGACATTCATCAAATTTATATCATATTTATTTTTATGTCATATTAAAGAACTATTATTAAGCTACATAATAAAATTTAAATTATTTTTCTAACTTAATTATTTCTCGAGATATTTGAAAATAAATGAGGCACATTTTGTCAAAAATGTACTATTTTTCTGCGCTTTAAACGCCCACATCTTAGCGAGTAAACCTTGTTGGGAGGTAAAATTTCATTTTTTTCTTAGTTATAGTATATACTACCATTATGCAAAATTTAAGAAAAATTGAAGGGGGTCAGGTTGAGAATCGACTTTTTTTGGTTGATTTGATATGGAATTCACCATATCTTAAAAACTACATAATTGTAAATAACGAATTTAATATCAAAATTACGTACAAAGATTCTACTTTTAGATAAAAAAATTTTTTTATTTTTTTTACCAATTTCCGGTATTTTATTTAATATATAAGGACTAAAAACGATTTTTTGGAAATAATACGACCTTCAATTTTTTTAAAAAATTTAGTAGACATTATTAAACTCTTCCTTTATATTTATATAAAAAAATTGGTTTGGGACGCAGCCATTTTCATTCTCAAAATCGATAAAATGCTTAGAAATGTGTATAAATATTTTCCCGAAAGGGGGCGTCTTTGTATAAAATTATATATTAATCAGTTTTTAATTGTTTTTCTTGGACTATTTGATAAAATTTAAAGGATTATTCATCTTGTAAGTGAAAATAACAATAAGTGAAATTGTATATCGATAAAAGAAATTCAATTTATTACTTTATTTATAATTTATTATAAAAATTTTGCCCATATAGCATATATTTAATGAATATTAATAAAATATATTTAACCAAGTTTATAGTTCTTGAATATATGAATCAGAATCTTGTGCATTTCATAGACGCCAAAAAATAATATCAAAATTTTCTCTACTCAATTTTTTAAAATAATTTGATATTTTTAAAATATTGCAAATATTAATTTATTATTATTATGAAATTATATACAAAATAAAAGTATTATCATAAATAACCCAAAACAATATAAATATTGGATCGGATTTTCTAAAATCGGCATAGCCTACTAAATTAGAAACACAATAAATAAGTGTTTCAATCAATAAAATAAATAAAAATTTTAAATTGATTAATCATTCAATAATACATGCTCACTATATTAATTCATTTTTTAATTAATTTATTGGTATTTTGATTTCTATCAACACCTAACCCCAAGCCTGGAAAAACTATAGACTAATATACAGTTAAAATTGTACAAGAATTTTATTGTATGGACGAAATAAGCAGAATCATGCCAGGCAAGAAAGATTGCATTTCGATTTTGTCTAAAGACGGAAAAAAGAATACCATACATAAGAGATCAATTTTAGATTATTTGAAAGAAATTCATATATTTTTTAAAGAAATGAGGTCTGATGTTAAGGTTTTTCGAAATTTGCAAGCATTCGCCCAAAAATTGTAACTCGTTGGAGGTAGTGGTACACATGTATGTGATTGCAGCTACCACCAAAATTTTAAATTAATGATCATTGGATCAAATTTAACCAATGATATGTTGCCATTTAAAACATACAAACATATTTTACACTTAATAATTTGTAATTCGCCTCAACCAGCCAGTTTATATGGGCAAATGTGATAATTGTCCAGGGTTAACACATTTACGAGATTAAATAGAAATATTGTTTCATTCTAAGGACATCGAATTTATAACATACAAACAATGGCTATCCGTAGATAGAACCACTCTTGAAACAATAACCAAACCAGTAGGTGAATTTATCAATGCCTTTTTTGAAAAAATGGAATCTTTATCCATTTTTTTATTACAACGCAACAATCGTTGTATCAATACAATCTAAAATTGAACTTAGATGAAGACCAATATTTAATTTTATGTGATTTTTAAGAAAACTATAGCTTTATACTTCAGGATGAAGTACAAAATTATCATTGGAATAGGGCTCAATCCACTGCTCACCCTTTTGTTATATATTATAAAGATAATTTTGCCAATAATTGTTGCCTAAATTATGTAATGATATCCGAATCTTTGCAACACAATCCAATAGCAGTACATAATTTCAAAAAAACATTGTTAAATTTTTTAATTAATAAAATTTGTAGGCTAAATAAAAATTTTTATTTTTCCGATGATAAAAATCGTAAAAATTTTATTAATATTTG